TTTTTTTTTTTTAATGCTTATTCATTTTTGAGAGACAGAGACAGAATGCAAGCGGGAGGGGCAGAAAGAGAGGGAGACAGAATCCCAAGCAGGCTCCAGGCTCCAGGCTCCAGGCTCCAGGCTCCAAGCTCCAAGCTGTCAGCACAGAGCCCCGACGCAGAGCTCAAACCCACAAACTGTGAGATAATGAGCTGAGCCAAAGCTGGACGCTTAACCGACGGAGCCACCCAGGTGCCCCAATAACGACTTATTATAAAGACTTGATATACGGGATGTAGCCCTTCTTTCACTGAGATTTTGTTTTTGTTTTGCTTAACTCTTTAAAATTCTGCGATAGAGACTTTGGTTTCATTGGACATGTGTGCAGTTTTATTGTTTGCACTTGGATTTTCAAAAACGAATTTGGTATTTGAAGGTTAAAATGCCAGAGTTAACTGACAGCAAACCATGCAAGAAAGAGCTCTCTTACCTGGTGTGCTCACCAAAGCAGCATTTCTGATGAATATTCTGGCTATTTATTTATTTTTAAAGAAATAGAATGAGAAACTAATTCCAATTCTACAGTTTAATGCGGTGTATCTGCTTTATAAGCCTTTGGGTTCTCGCAGTAAGTACATTTCCATGGTATTGTAAATACGGAGAAGTACCGATTGATAGAGTGTCCCAGTTATTACAGCACCATGACAACCATCTTTTGCTGCACAACGTTTAGCTTATTAGCTGTATTCATTTCATTGTTTGAAACAGATTATGGATCTCATGGGCAAAGCGTTTGCTGGTATTATTTTAAAAGTATTGTTATCATTGCAATAGTTTTCTTTTAAAAATGAATACATGTTAGAAATATAAACCGGGGACTCTGGAAAATCTGGGTGGGAAGGGCAATCATTAGCTGAAGTGCCATGAGTAGTGTTTCAGACCAGTGGTGTAAAGAAACTTCCTGGCACAGCTTAACCTCCAGGACGAGATGTTCCAAACAAAATGAAGTGACCAAAGTTGGTATTTGCTGCACACGTCTGAATCCATGTGCAGACCCCTTTATCTTTCCCTCTATAATAAGGACTTCATAAAGAACGCTACGTTCGGAACACCAAGTGTCGCGTTTTGTGTTGATTACATATTCATTTTAAGGGCTGTGCTAATTCGCTTTAAAATCTTTATTTTTGGGACAGAGAGAGAGAGAGAGAGACACACACACACACACACACACAGCATGAGTGGGGGAGGGGCAGAGAGAGAGGGAGACACAGAATCGGAAGCAGGCTCCGGGCGTTGAGCTGTCGGCACAGAGCCTGACGCGGGGCTCGGAACTCACCGACTGCGAGATCCTGACCTGAACCGAACTCGGACACCCGACTGGCCGAGCCACCCAGGCGCCCCTGTGCTAACTCACTTTCAGTAGAGCTGTCCACCCTTCGTTCTAGGAAGGGGAGGGAGCAGACCACCACCCAAGGGCTTCCTTGGTTAATGAAGTGACGCCACTGCAGTTACTGGAAAGGTTGGGAGTAGTGGAAGTGAGTCACCCCCAGAAGGAGAAGCAGAGGTAGGACGATCGGTTGGCGGGAAGAGCCGAAGGTCCGGGGGTAGCGAACTTCTGCGAAAGTGAGTGAAGAGATGCCCTGCATGTGTAAAGAGGAGTCTTGACCACCCGGATGAGCTTAGAGGCACGGCAGACTCTGGGACCGCAAGCGAGGCTGCCCTGCTTCTGCCTGTTTTCAGAGGCCTATCGGCCAGCGTGCCAGCCAGCTTCCGGGTCATCTGCGGCTTTATCGCGTTTCAGGCTTTCACCCAGTCTTCTCCATGGAGCGCTTAGGCCTTGCAAAAAATCTTCTAAGAGAAAGATTCAGCTTCCTTTAGCAAATGCCACACGGTATCTAGGACACATCTTTAGTGTGCTGCTAATCCCAGTTGTAAACCATGACAGAAGTCTGCTGGGGCAGTTGATGACAACAATGTGTATTTGGGGTTCAGAACTGACTCGAGGGCGTTTCTGAAAATACCCTTTAAAGTAGAAGGTGAGTTTTTTTCTCTTTCTCCTGAACTCTTTTTAAAGTTTTTGCTACAAATGTTCCACATTCTAATCGCTTGACCAAGAGTATCTGAAATAACGTAAGATGGTGTAATGTATTATGCTCGGTGATGAAAGAGAACAATTTCTAGATGAAGGTTTCTTATTTGCACCACTTCGTCAACAGCTACGCGAGGCGATGAACTCATCTCCCCAGTGGGGGAACTGCATTCGTGCGCATGTTCTGGCAGCGTTAACATTAGGACAGAAGCTAATGGACACAGTCCCATGTCCTCCAGGGTCATGGTTTCATTTTAATTGCGTTAAAATTGTAGCCTGGAACTCTGTGCCTGTGGCTTTTTAAACAACAGGTGATTAGCCTCTGTCCAGAAGAATGTTATTAATACAATTGAATGGTTAATTAGTCTCATGGTCTTGTAAAGCAACCCAGACCCCAAGCCCCCTGATGAGCTTGAAGAAATTGTTCACTCTGGTTAATCCCAGCAATAGTTCCAGAAGCCATTAGGATCTGCCTTCTAAATGACTGTTTCCCTTGGTGCTGGCCGTCTTTGAAAGGGTTAACAGGCCTCCAGAGTCTCCTCCTCCCTTCCCCCTCAAAACACCTGGCCCAAGTTGTCCTGAGCCCATTAGTGGGTTATTGATGGTGGGGTGGTTAGGCCCTCCTCTCCCCAAGCTGTCCTCACTGTGCTCATACACTTTGATTAAATGCTTCCAGTCAGTTGTTACTTTTTCCTCTTATGCTTTGTTTAACTAGGTGAGATTGAATGAGGGCACACAATAGCTGTGTGTTCTGAATAAAAGCTTTCAGATGTGTGCTTCTTGTATGTGGACAGATGGAAACAGAACTTGTTCTCCAGTTGACTTTGTACTGAGAATGCGTCCCTGAGTTGAGGTGTTAAGAAGGCACACTGCCTTCACTAGTACCTACTAGGGAGAGGAAAGCTGTCTTTTTATTCAAGATTTTAGTTAAGAAAACAAAGAAAAATCCTGGGCTATTTGATACTTGCCTGTATCTTACCAGATTAACTGAGATGTGTTTTTTTCTTTCTAATTACAGAAATCCATAATCATCAGCCTTGTTCAAAACTTTTTAGGTAAGCCACATTCTTTGTCACTTTTAGTCCTCATTAAAATATTAATTGATAAAAACTAGTGAATTTCGGGGCACCCGGGTGGCTCAGTTGGTGAAGCACCCAACTCTTGATTTCGGCTCAGGTCATGATCTCACAGTTTGTGAGACTGAGCTGCTCATCAGGCTCTGCGATGACAGCATGGAGCCTGCTTGGGATTCTCTCTCTCCCTCTCTCTGCATATGTGTCTCTCTCTCAAAAATAAATTAAAAAAAAAAAAAAGAACTGGAATTAAAAAAAAAAAAACTAATGAATTTAGGTCTGTAGCTGATTGTGGCTATAAAGTCACACGTAAAACCGAGGGCATCCAAATTCACTTGTTTGTGAACAAACACCTATGTGTTTGGGGCACTGTGTTAGGTTAGGGAAAGGGGAGGGATGGTATAAATCTTGGCCTCAGTGGTTTACAATGAAAGCCTGCTCCAGCACCCTCCCAAGGACTGTTCGGCCCCAGAGCAGGAAGTTAAGGATCACATATGGATAAAATAATTTAAGGGGTGTTTTTAAGAAGAATAAAAAATGTTCAGTGTTCAACTTTATGAGGAAAGGAAAGGAAACATGGAACCTTCATTTTGCGTGTATATAAGTTAATATACACCGGTTGCATACTAAGACCAACTAAAGGACAGAAAGGAAGAAATGGGAGGGCACTGTTCAGAAGGGAGGGAGCAAATGACACGGGTGGAGGGCAACAGAGAAAAGTGCCAGTGTCCTCTATGCACCACGCTTCTCCCCAGACTCCCGTCGGGCCTCTGCCTGCTCTCTCAGCCCCAGACCCCTCCACTCGATGGTTGCAGTGATGGTTCCAACTCAGTGTTTCTTAACCCCCACCCCTGAGGGTGTGTTCTACCTTCCCAGAAGCCAGTACCTCCCTTCTAGAGCTGCCCACGCTAGTGCAATTCAGCGTTCTCGATCAGCGCTCCCTTCTCTAACACCTGCCCACCCCTCGTGCCTAGCCGTTCTTGCTGTATGTCCCCCGCTCTCACCCTGACCCCTGTCTCGTTCTCAGCTGGCCCAAACACCCAGCCCCTTGCACCAAAGAACTCCTGGGGACCCCTCCCTCTGCCCCCCACCCCACACACACCTACCCATTGAGTATGTCAGAGGCTTGCCCTCATGCAAGATGGCTACCTGTGGACAAAGCCTGAAAGCAGCCAAAAACCTCATCACTTTTAGATTTACACGTAATTGGAAGAGGAGTGGGAAGCAAAGCAAGCAATTCATCTGAGAAGAATCTCAGAGCACACGACGTGATTCAGGCCCTGGTCCTCACATTCCCTGTGTTTGGTCCATGAAAGTATCCGATTTGGCCCTGATTCTGCAAAGCTCTGCCAGCCTTTCTGAGGAGTTCCTTAAAATGCTGTCAGTAAGATTGTACCAGAACAAGGATTTCACTTAAGTTTGCTTTAAAATTTTATTTATTTATTTATTTTATGTAGTCTACACCCGACGTGGGTGAGAACAACAGACTCACACTCCTCCAACTGAGCCAGCCGGGCACCCCAGGATTTAAGTTTAAATCATAGACCTATAATTCTTGGAGCTGAAAGAAACCTTAGAAATCTATGTCTACTCCCTGTTTCCGGAAAGGGAAATGGAGACCACATGGGTTAAGTGACTCACCCGAGATCATAAAGTGAGAAGCAGCATGGCAGGAGCTGGTTTCTCCTGACTTCCAGTTCCGTGGCTTTGTTTTTGTTTTTACTCTTTTTTTTTTTTTTTAAATTTTTAAAATGTTTTATTTATTTTTGAGAGAGAGAGAGAGAGACAGAGAGACAGAAAGACAGAGTACGAGTGGGGGAGGGGCAGAGAGAGAGGGAGACAGAATCCATGAAGCAGGCTCCGGGCTCTGAGCTGTCAGCACAGACAGCTCAGGTGGGGCTCGAACCTGTGAACCACAAGATCATGACCTGAGCGGGCCAGCCACTTAACTGACTGACCCACCCAAGCGCCCCTGTTTTCACTCTTTCTTGAACTTCTCACTGCTTTATAAGGCCTGGGCTTGTGGTGGTGGGAGGAAGGCGGAGGGACGGCATTCTTGAAAGCACAGCCAGTGGTGGAAGGGCCCACGCATCATCGTGCCTGGCCTGCTCACCACAGGATCCGGGTCAGCTAGGCCTACTTGAGGGTCAGACCTGGCTTCAAATCTCAGTTCTTCCATCTACCAGCTCTACGGTTGGAGGCAAATCGCTTACCCTGAGTCTCTCTATCTACAAAAATGGGAATAGAACTCGGAACACGTTGGGCTGTGCTAATACCTACTCACCAGCATTGAGGCAAGAATGAAATGAAATAACACGAGAAATCAGCCAAACATTTAACAGATGCCCCTCTCCCTTCTGCATTTCTCAGAAAAGGAGCTCTTGTGTCCCCCTCCCCCCCCAAGTAATTGATACTTAGAAACAAGGAAACCACACGTTTCATAATTACTTGCTATCAGTACCTCCCACGTGTGGAAGTAATACAATTTCATCAGTCTCTTGAGTATTCTTTGATGCAAAAGATGCCTTCTATCATCAGAAAGCATTGAGATAGATTTCTCTGTATACCTGTTGAAGACAAGCAGTTCTATCTCTATTACCAACTTTTAGGATTCAGTGACCCATAGTCGCACGAGGCTAAGCGTATTCATGTCAAAATACTACACAGTTTTAATAAAATATATTTTCTCTTTAAAAAAAAACAGTTTTTATGACTATGCAAGCAAAGTTAACGAAGAGAGTTTGGACAGGATTCTTAAAGATCGGAGAAAGGTATGTTCTATTTCTTGCTTAGTCTGATTCGGAAATCCCTCTTTATCTTATCATCTAAACTTAAAACCAAAAGGAATGTAAAATGAGACAATGTGATTTGTTATTAATGTATGAGAGTTCTGTTGACTTAAGTAGATTTTAAAGGTAAATCGCAGATGTGAGATAATGTTTCTAACATATCAATAGAAAAAAATTGAGATATTTATAGTATGATTCTATTATGTAAAACTCCAAAGGGGGTGGGGGGAATTATACTTCAGAGAGTTAAAAATAGTTGAGTTGATTCTGGATGGTTCTAATTTTCCATTTTGTAATTTTTGAAATAATTTTGCAAATATCTTCTATACATGCATTAATTTTATAATCAGGAAAAATGTTTCTAAAAAATGTAAGTCATAATTAAACGTCTTTGGGTATATTATTCTTTCAAGTTCAGTTAACATTGAACATAGATGTTTTTCCAAAAGGTCATGTGTTTATTATTTCTGTCAACATATGCGTATCGTGTTCTGATTATATGGTAAGGAAGCCTGAATAGAATTACAACTGGGGGGCACTTGGGTGGCTTGGTCGGTTGAGCTTCTGACTCTTGATTTTGGCTCAGATCATGATCCCAGGGTCATGGGATCGAGCCCCATGTAAGACTCCACACTCAGCTGCTTAAGATTCTCTCTCTCTTCCTCCCTCCCTCTGCTGCTCTCCCCTGCTTGTGCACTCTCTCTCTAAAAAAAAAAAAAAAAAAAAAAAAAAAAAAAAAAAAAAAAGATGGGGCACGTGGGTGGCTCGGTGGGTTAAGTGTCTGACTTCAGCTCAGGTCATGATCTCACGGTTCATGAGTTTGAGCCCCGCATCGGTATCTCTGCTGTCAGCACAGACCCCGCTTTGGATCCTCTGTCCCCCTCTCTTTCTGCCCCTCCCCCACTTGCTCTCTGTCTCTCTCCAAATAAATAAACTTGGAAAAAAAAAAAATTGAAAATGAGCCAGTTTTATTGCTGCAGCGTTGTCTGATAATCTCATTTCTAATTTACTCTGTTGTACCATGTGTAGGTTTTACTTTTTTCCCTTGACATTTTTTATTCCAGGAAAATAGATTTTTTTATTAAAACTATCACTTGGGGCGCCTGGGTGGCGCAGTCGGTTACGCGTCCGACTTCAGCCAGGTCACGATCTCGCAGTCCGTGAGTTCGAGCCCCGCGTCAGGCTCTGGGCGGATGGCTCAGAGCCTGGAGCCTGTTTCCGATTCTGTGTCTCCCTCTCTCTCTGCCCCTCCCCCGTTCATGCTCTGTCTCTCTCTGTCCCAAAAATAAATAAACGTTGAAAAAAAAAAAAACAAAACTATCACTTGAGGGAAAAAAGTTAATAAAAGTTCCAATTTGCCAAACAGAAAACAAAATGCCTTTGTCTAGAAGCATGTATCACGAAAAAGCTTTCAAAAGATCACTCCTGGTTACAAAGAGCCAGCACTGTGGGGACTTGGCCCCCGAGGTGTCTAACGAAGGGCATTGGGGGTAAGAGTGCGGGCAGAGTAGGTCAGCAGCCTTCCCATCTACTGCCCGCCTCAGTAGCACTGCCAGTTGGAAAGGCAGAAGGAAAAGCAGGTAAGATAAAAGGAAGAATGGGAAGGCTGGAAGAAAGGACGGACAGCTTCGTGGACGATGGCGAGCTCAGGAGGTGCTCAGTCTTGGTGGAGTCTGACCCCATCGTCCGTCCACCTGGGGAAGGGAGTTAGAGCAGCCGCAGGCATCACGGTCCTGCTCTCTTGTTTTCAGTGACCTGCCCAAGAGCACGTATGCCGGAATCTCTCGGCAGCCCATCCTTTCCTCTCCTGACTACCAACCTACCTCCTCGTTCCATTTATTTTTGCATTTTAGACACCGAACTTTTATTTTTTTTAATTGTTTTTCAATGTTTTCATTTATTTTTGAGACAGAGAAAGACAGAGCATGAGCAGGGGAGGGGCAGAGAGAGAGGGAGACACAGAATCCGAAGCAGGCTCCGGGCTCCGAGCTGTCAGCACAGAGCCCGACGCGGGGCTCGAACTCACGAACTGTGAGATCGTGACCTGAGCCGAAGTCGGACGCTTATTTGACTGAGCCACCCAGGTGCCCCTCCTGCTTATTTTTTAAGTAATCTCTACACCCAGTGTGGGGCTCAAACTCATGACCCTGAGATCAAGAGTTGCACGCTCCACCGACGGAGCCAGCTGGGCGCCCCAGTGACAGACTTTTAAATATGCAGTTTCACCTCTATGAATCTGGCCCAAGTAAACATTTGCATCCAGGCACAAAGATACGAAAAGCTGGCATTATTGAACATTTAACTCTGTGTCAGGCCGTGTTGTAAGCGCTTTGCCTGTACTGGAACAGTCTCAGGAGGTACGTTGCTATTGTTCTCATCCCCACTGTGCAATTGAGGCAACTAAGGGTAACTTGCTGAAGGTTGCCAGCAAGTAATGCCAGAGCCAAGGCTTGAACTGAGCAGTCTGGCCTCTGAATCCACATACGAGGATGTTTGTTGCACCTTTACTTAATAGTGAGGGTTTTGAAAGCAATCCAACCAGTGGGAACTGGTTAAGTATATTGTGCCGGCACCTCTGTACTGTGGGATATGAAGCAGCCATTAGAAAGAATGAGGGAAGTTCTCATGTGATGACCTAGAAAGATCTTCAAGTTGTGTTACGTGAAAAAAAGTAGCGTTCTAATTTGAGCCTATTTGATATAGAGACAAAAATCTGAACAAGTAGTTGGATGTACAGAAAACAACCTGGAAGAAAGGCAACCAAACTTAAAAGTATTTACTTCGGGAAGGGAGAGTGGGGTGATGCTGCTGCTGGGGGGGTGGGGACTTTGTAAGATATATGTGTACATATATATATGCCTATTTTTAAGTTTATTTTGAGAAAGAGAGAGCATGTGGGTGCACATGTATGCTGGTGCATGAGCAGGGGGAGGGGCAGAGAGAGAGGGAGACACAGAATCCGAAGCAGGCTCCAGGCTCTGAGCTGTCAGCACAGAGCCTGACGTGGGGCCTGATCCCATGAACCGTGAGATCATGACCTGAGCCAAAGTCGGACGCTCAACCGACTGAGCCACCCAGGTGCCCCTAAAAAAAAAAAA